AACAGGGTCATCGATACGGATTTAAAATAATCTTTTTCAGGTGGGCTCTGCAAGACCTCTCAAAAGCTTTGGCTAATGTATTTTTGGTATCTCAAATTTTATTTTCTACCAAACTTGGGAGAAAAAGTAGGAATGTGTTTGGCTAGGAAAAACGTTTGGGATTGGGGTATAATCATAGGCCAAGGTAACGCGCCTGGGTGGCAGGATTCCCCTTGTGGAAACAGCCTGCCTTGATGCCTTCCTTTGGTTTGGGTCGGGTTTGCTTTGTGGGTTGTTATTTTTTAAGATTTGTAGTGTTACAAGCTCCATTGGAGGCAGATTGATAGACTGGGGATAAGGGAGAGAGTCTAAATTGCAAAATACATTCATTTATTCGGCCGGCTGCAGTTTCCATATGACAGCCACATCCATATTCACGGCCGTACCTCTGCGCTACCTACCTCAAAGTGAGAAAGTATGTACGAAGCGCGTCATATCGAAGGTTTCACTGGATTATATGTGTTTTGCTGCCCACACTGTTTCGGGCAGCGTTCGTGCCAGCAGCAGACTGTTCAGTGCTTTGCTGCCTGCCTGCGTCGTGAAGAAGCAAGTTAGAGCATCTCGGTGTGGAGCCTGTGTCCGTGTTCACAAAAAAAAAAGGATGAATTAAGGAGCCTGTGAAGCTAGGGGAGACTGTTCCTTTGGTTAAATTTAACAGAAATTGTATCCATTTGCTTAAACCACAATCCCTTGTGTGGAGTCTTTTATTTTCTGTTAAAAAATGGGTTTTTGTTGATCTCGGTGGCCGTGCCAACATTGCGTGTGTACTTACCGCATGTCAAATGGGTATTTATCTGAGAGACCAGGGTGAATCTATGGGATAAGCATGAGACTTAACTCCGAATTGTCTTGTTTATGCTGGCTAAGGCCTGGATGAAATGGGATTTTAAATACATGTATCATATTTTATTGGTGCTAGACAGATGTTTAGCCGGTGTGAATGGCATTATTTCATGTACCAGCTAAAGGCCTGGCCCAGGAAAGAAGCGGAAAAATAATTAAAAACAAACAAACAAAAATTTGCTAATCTACACTTCATTTTTCCTTTAGCCACTTAAATTGTAGTCAGCGTTTGAGGGCAAGCAGAGGTGGTTGTAGCTTCTGTGCATTTCCCCTGATGTGTTACTGAGAATCAATATATGGACTGGAATAAAAGCCTGGAAGTTCCTGCTGTTGACACCGAGCATCGCAGTGGCACCGTGTGTCAGTGTGTGATACTGTGGAACTGTTAAAATACACACATTAAATACCATATCTTGGAAAGAGTCTGTGGATGATACCACGCACTATAACGTGCAAAAGAAAAAAAAAAAAAAATCACTGGGCAGGTGCAATTGCCCGTCTTCTCTTTCAGCATCACTTTTTCAAGTGTAAACAAAGAAAGGACCGTGCAAAAGCCTGAGCACTTGCAAAGTTTCAGCCCTGCTGTCCTACAGCGCGCCTCATCCACAGCCCGAGCTCAGCTGCTAATCCTATTTCCACCCTGGTCTCTAATACAGCAATTTTTTCCTGTACATCCAGTGTGCAACAACGTCTTACGGTGGAAGGCCGTTGGTTCTGTATAGCTGGATCCTTGTGTATAGAGGGGTGCAGCTAGATGCAGAAATACTTTTATTTATCTAAATGTGTATAATAGATACGTGTATAGGTTTAACATAGACAAATTGTTATATATTATGCGTATATGTAATATATACACTTGTTAGTGTATATATATATATAACATACAATATAGAGGTTATTTGGGATAGAGATATATAAAAGATAGAAGAACCCAGTAATTGCCTTTAAGATCAGAGCACAAAGCATTACCTTGGATTTTACAAGGCCAGCGAGCAACAAAAGAGCAGTAATTTATGAGCTCAGCGTAAAAGAATAGCATAATTGCATTAAAAATTAATGCTAATGAACACTAAAATGGGGAAGGTGGTTATGATGAAAGTTTGTATTCATCTTCCCTGGTTTGAATGATGGCTAGTGGCTTGATTAATGGCTTAATTTCTATCAATTAGCGGGGAAAAATCTCCTACGAGACAAGGGTAAATTGAGCATTGAATTACATATCGTGCTTTTGTGTGCTGAGAAAAAAGAGCGGCGTATCTCTGATATTAGCCACAGTGACAAATGCGGTGTGCCCTGCGCCGGCTCTCCCGGCGGGCTGCTGGGGTGGCGGGGGGCGGCCGGCAGACGGCCAGCCAGCTCGCCGGCCCCCGCGCTGCGCCATCTTGTCCCCAGCCACAGCTTCTTGCGCTCCCTCTATTAAGGGAAGGAAAACACCTGGCAATTTTAAGCGTATTAGTGCTGTTTCCTACCACTTTACTAGCTGATTTTGATTTTTTCCCAGGATATTTTCAAACGTACCCCAAAAGGCCTCAAAATGTGAGTGAATGTAGGAACTAGCACGTGGGCGAAAAGCGCAACGGCGAGGGCAACCTGCATGCAGGGTTAAATGCGTGCCTAGAGCAGCATTCCAAGTGTTCTTAAGCTGCTTAAATTAAATGTTTTTAAATTGAGAACTCAAGTGCTAAAGTTTCCCATCGTGTCTTCTGTTTGATTTTATACCCAATACTTCCATTCTTTTTAAAGAAGAAGCTATTTGTGTCCAGACTTCTTTTAAAATACTGTGAAAGCTAGGTTAGAATTATAATATATTAAAATAGCAAATTGGAAGTACTCTAGTGCTCTCTCTAGTAAGTACTAGAGTACTTGCAACATGCTATTTTAATACATTATAATTGTAGGGCCGGAGTACTTACAATTAAGTGTGAGGAATACAAATTAACAATAAAAACTTTCTCTGGCCACAGTTGCTCGTTTTGGAATATGTTTTATTGTTTCTGTGACTTTGGCTGGAAAAAGTTCTTTCTCTGGCAATCTCAACAGCTAGGAAATAGTGTGGCCAAGTGTTGAAACAGAGCTTTGACACAGCTAAGGGGATCTGGAAACGTTAGCAGCAATCAAGCAGTTTTTATCATGACTTAGAGTTGTTAGAGGGAAGAGGTAGTTTTGAAACTAATCCCAAATTCCCCTTCGGCTGCACGTCGGCGGTCGCCCCGGCAGGGACGCTCGGCTCGCAGCATCTTCGGGGCTCATCACCCACAATTTTCCCCACGCCGCGGACAAAGGCGGGGAGGCGGCCGGCGTTGTGCGTGGCGGTGCCTCCCTCTAACGGCTGGCCCTGCGGAGGCCCGGCTGCTCGCCTCCCCGCGTGGGAAAGCGGGGCTGAGGTGGCCTTCGCCCCGCGGGTCCCAGCGCCCCGGGCCTTCACCTGACCCGGGCCCGGCAGGGGCGAAGGGACTCGGGTTCTGCGTTAACGCAGAAGCTCGCGGGAGGAGTTCGTTTCTTGGCTGATTCGCACCGGTTCTCTGTAAAATGATGGTAGCGGGCTGGCGGGTGCCGGAGGTCTCGCCGTTGCGACGGCTGTTGAAGGCACCGGTGAGGTCCCCCACGCAGCTCCGCCGGTGGCCGCGGGCACCCTCGGACGCTGGGAAAGGCGTTGGGGCTCGAGGTCACACTCTGCCAGCACTGGCAGGCTCGGGTCTCTGCGTCTGTGTCGGGACAGCCCCCACCGCCCGCTGCTGTCCTGCACAGAGAAAAGATTTGAGGGGGAGAAAAAACCCTAAAAAACAGCTCCAAGTTTTGTAAAGTCTAGAGGGGACAAAAACGAAGTGAATCCCACCCATCCTGCTGGATTTTCCTTCTGCCTCCTAGTGCTTTCATTTTGTTGAACAGAAACGTTCACTGTAGAAGACGGTATGTCTCAAAGCTGGGTAGTTTTTTGTCTCTTCCGCTGCAAATTGTCGAGATTAAAACTTTGTTTTTCTTTGAATGCGTCAGTTTGTGCAGCCTAAATAAAAATAGGAAGCAATTAGAAAGCACTGGGCATGTGAAAAACCACAGCTCTGTTGAAAAAACATACAGTTCGATAATGCAGTTGTTACTGTATCCAGGCGGTTGTATATACACATTTGTATAAAAATTATAAGTATCACCTAAGCTGACCCTAAATAATATGGGATGATGGGGAAAATATTTTCCTCTGTAGTTGGTTTGTTTAGTCTGGTAGCTGTTTGTGTTTTCTTCTTTTAATCCTCAACTCATAAACAAAAGAGCAGAAAAAATAGCAACTTTTTTCTGTAAGTATTTCAAAGCATATTACTTAAAATGTATTATATTTTAAATGGGTCAGTTAAATTAACCAGCTATATCCCTTTAAATATAATTAGTAAAATAGGGAGAAGGATATATTCTGAGGAATATTTTAGGTTTATTATGTCATTGCTTTGATTCTTAAGTTAGACCTGCTTGAAAGAAGACTCTTTAGGTAAAGGCATGGGTTCATTTTCGTGGTCAGGGTTATAGATTAGCAATGAATCCAGTAAGCATTGCAAATTTACACCTAAAGGTTATACAAGAAATATTTAAAATATGTTTTTATTTAATGGGTCATTCACAAGATGCTGTTTGTCATTTAATGCCTCTGTTTCAGTGCTTGTTAAATTCTTAGCGGGTTTCGTCACCAGTTTTGTCTTTAGAAATAAGCAAAGAAATGGGAATATTTTATGCAGAGCTTGCAGGCAAGTTACTTTTTCTTTTATCCGATTCTCTGGTGTTTCTAATTATTGTGTGTGTGAAATTTTTGGGTGGCATCTAAAGGATTAATACACATTTCATTTCTGAAGTGACATTTCAAATTATTGCTAATACAGATGAATTCAATACGAAAATAGCAGCTATAAAAGTTGTGTGTGTGTGTATATATATATTGAGATATATATGTGAATAGATGTAAATATAGATGGGAAGTGTAAAGTAATGAGTCATCTCTGAAGGACAGCGTTCCCAGTTAAATCCTCTGTGCCTGGGGTAACTGGGCCAAAAATCCTTAGATTGCTATAAAATTAGGCTAACGAAACGTTCCCCCAGTCGAATCAGCTTTACGGTACGGGGCATAAACAGCGATGTCGTTAAACCCGGGCGGTGCTGGGGCTTTGTGGGGCCAGGCCGCTCCCGCGGGGGGACCCCGGCCTCACTGCCGCGCCGTGCCGCCAGCGCTGGGTGGCAGTGGGAGAGAGCTGGGGACACGAATGGTAATTGAGACCGCTGCTAGAGTCGCCTTTTTATAAAAAAGGGCCTCAACAAGCCCTAATAGAAGATTTAGTTTATTTTTTTCACTATAACACGGTAAAAAGATTTGCTGTGCAGTGAGTTAGTATTGATTTTTTTTTTGTCTGTAGCCTCTTAGCTTTCTGACTCCATTATTTTTGATTTTACTATGAATTACGTATCCTTTCTACTGACATCTGACAAACAACATATGGAAGTCATTTTATCTACCAATAATGTGTTTGTCAAAAAAATCATGCGCTAATGGGCTACGCTTCCTCCAGTCCATTTTCCCCAAGTTAATGTCACTGATGTAATTCTAAACATTTAGTGATTTTTGCCCCCTTAATAATTTGTCATTCCCATCGGTTCGTATAAGATTCATGTAAGACACTATAACAGGCTGGGAACTGACCGTAGGTTTTGCGAAGTAAGAGTTGAGCAACTGATTTTAAACCTACGTTCACCTGCCTTTCCCTGATACCTGGCTTTAACACCGTGCCTACCAGGTACGCTTACCACTCCTGGATTTACCTGCAGGCCAGATGTACCCAAGGGATTGATGAATTATGATTCCTCCTCCCTAGCAGGGCATTAGTGTGCGTTTGGTTTTATACTTCCTATGGGATCCTTAGGAATCTCTTTTAAAAAAAGAAGACGTTAGCAGCAAGGCAACAGAACTTTTAAACACAAGCTTAATTGTAAGCAAGTGATTTTCTTCCTTCTAAATTCAAAAGAATCGGGCTTAAAGATGGCTCATGCACTTTGCTGTAGTGCAGCTGCTGTCCTAAGCCTTGCCAAAGCCGAAGCTTTACTGGGGCTCCCACAAACCCCTTGTGGGGCACGCGGCTGGCCGTGCCAGGAGCCAGCGCGCCTCTGCCCACATCCCGCCCGGCGATCGCCCTCTCTCCAGCCGAGGACCCCGCGCCCCTGCGATCCGGGCAGCCGCTCTCCCCCGCGAGGCTGCAGCGTGCTGCTGCCCGCGCCTCTCCTGCTGCGGTGCAAACCTCGTGCTGGGCTGCAGTGAAGTTACTAAAACGGCAGGTAGGGTTTCACTGCCCGAAGCAGTCGGAGCGCTGTAAGCGGTTATCCAGACTCAGCAATCGGTGTATTTGACTTTCTGCACATTCAACATATGCAGAAATAGGTAGCATGTTCCTGATTTTTCTGTTCATCCTATCCATAGAGACTAAACAATATTCCCAAATAATTTTTAAGCAATAGGGCAGGTTCTTGTTTACTGCTCGAAAGTTACATCTCTTCTTGTCTTCTGTCTGCCTTACCCGTTTTATAAATGATGCTCGCAGCAAAAACTGTGCACTGCTCTGCGATACAGTGCCTTGACCACTGCTGACCCCAAAGTACTATGTATAAAGCAAATGGTTTTCATAAGTAAATGAGATGGACACAAATTGGTTAAAATCTTAAACGAAAGCATGCAGTTAGCAGAATGAATTGAAGATTTGCTTGTCACTGCGGTTAGACAGAGAAGCAGGTAAGGAAGGTTAACTGAGCTGTGAATCTGAAGAAACAGAAAATGAAGCAGAGAGTAAAGCAAACGCTTTTATGTCAGATGTACCATAATGAACAAGCCATGCTACCCAGGACTGGAAATAAAAGTCTTGCAGTACAACCCGCTGATAAGAAATGAAGTTGTTAATTTAGCGTGGGCATCTCCATTCCAGAAATATCTCTGAGCTGCTATTAGTTTATTTGCTCATCTGAAGCTCCACTTACTTGTCATTAATAGACTCAAATGAGTTTTCAGTGGTTAGTCATTGCAGAAGGATGTCAGTTACGTTTATTTTTTTCTTGTGCAAAAGAGAAAGTATTTTGCAGCGTATGTGTTTATCTACGTGAATTTGGATTTAGAATTTTCTATACAGAGTTTGGTGCATCTGAATTTCTGGATAATTCTGCAAGCTCTTTTAGTCTGCAAGCACTTTTCCTGATTTTCAGTATACTTTGCTTTCTTTAGAACAAGAAATTTAACCTTTTATACATACATATGTATATACCACAAATATATAATTAAAACTGCTTTTTTATTTAAATTTGTGGTGTATATAGTGTTTAAAGTATTCTTGTCTATTCATGACGTTTTCAATCAAACTTCATGGTTATCCTAAGTTGCTTTTTCCTCATCTTTTTGGCAATCTCCTTTTTACTGTGTTGCTGGAGACCATGGTTCTGTGGCTCAGGAGCTCAGCTCCTCGGTACCAGGTCACTCAGCCACACCAAACTGACGTGCAGGGGCACGGGCAGACCCAGTTGCACTTTCTTTCCAGCCATCTAGAAAAAGAGTTTATATTGATGGTGTTAGCAGACAGCTGGCCTGTGAAATCTGGCTGGTGCAGATATACCTGCTCTGACATCAAGCCTACCAGTACAAAACCTTTTAAAACCAAATTTGAATTAGAAGAGAGTTTGTACCGGATCAGCCTGTGCATGACGTTGCTGCCGCGTGTTAAGTCTGAGTTTCACAGACCATGTCCTGCTTTGTTGGTCTTAGTTTCCGACCAGTCTGATCTATCCAGAAGATTGGTTGAGCAGTGAAAGAACTAGCAAAGCCTACCTGACAGCACCCCAGTTACATGTTAGTGTAGCTCGGACGAAGGTTGGCAGGACCTGCTCTTCTTCACCATAACGTCACGGGGAGCTGCATTCACTTCGTCAAAGTAAAATCTCAACCTGGGATTCAAAAATATCTTGTGAAATACATGTGCGCTGTGAGACCTCACAGTACAATAAAGAAGCAATTTTGCTCATTGGATTAAACAGCTGCAGTTTTGTCACCTAAGAATCATATGAGCACACAATATTTAGTGTGTATGTTAGGAATATTTTATTACCAGATTCTAAGATTTTTTTTTTGTCAAATTCACGTAACGATGTAACTCTTAATGCCAAACTTATTACATAGCTTGTCACAAAGAACAGACAGATGATGGGACATCTCTCTAGACACCCGCAGCTGAAGCCAAATTCACCTCCATACAGGCAGAAGTAGTTTTACTGCTACATACAGATGGTACTCCACTGAGCTGTCTGCACTCTCCCCGAGTCTTTAACTTCTCCAGGAAATCCTCATGCCGTAAATCTAGCAGTTATCCTGCGAGGACATCTCTGGCAAATTCTTAAGTTAGCATCTTGAATGATATCATATGTTGAACGATAATGGCCAACTCACTATTGTTATTTTTACTAAAGGAGAGAGTTTTTCTTTGTAACAGAGTATTTTGGGCTGCAATACAAGTTGGTTTTTTTCTGGGATGTACTGTTGTAAAATACATTCAAGTCATTGCTTAGACATGGCATTTATCTTAGGCTTACACTAATGTATACTGACATTACACCTTCTCTTTGTAGACCAAGCCACCCTAGTAGAGCAAGTGAAACGAGTAAAAGAAATTGAAGCTATTGAAAGTGACGCCTTTGTTCCGCAGGCATTCAGATCAAGTAAAGAAGTCAAAAAGGTAAGTTTTCAATGTCCCTTCTTGGTGCCTAATCCTTTCAAAGTCAGGTGGAAGCTGCGCTGTTAGTACAGTTTACATCCATGAAAGAGCATCAGCATTGACAATCCTAACTCCCACCAACGACTCTCCTATGTTCTTGGTGTGGAGTTCAAGGAAGAATACATTTAAATGTGTAAGAATTTCAATGAAATCAACTGTTTTGACAGTATATTCTACCTATGCTGAGCAACTCTGTTTTTTAAAAATTCTTTTAAAATCATATAAAGCCATGAAGATTTTTTGTAGGAGAAACCGAAGAATTAAAATCCAAAAGCAATCAGACACTTACCTTGTAATTAAAGGTAGAGAACAGTATTTTTAACTCTGCTTAACTGAAGCCAGACTTTAGGACCATATTTACTCCCTGAAACAAAACGGCGTTGTTCTCAGACAGCTTTCCAAAAACCTAACATCAGACATCCAGGTTTCTGAATTTTACTTACATTTTGGCTGCCAAGTCTTCTAGGGAACTTGGATGCTTTCGTCTTTGGAAACAGGCAAGCAAAGGCTGGTTCGGTTTTTCCATCTAACAGTGAGGTGTTTTGAATTATCACTGTTTGTTTCCCCCAGAACGTGCATTTTCTTGCCTTTTCAGAAGTCTCCGAGAAGTTCACGTGGCTTCTTCAGAAAGTGATCCAAAACCCCAATGCTGCGGTTCTGCAAGCTCTCTCATTGCCTTTGGCAATCCCTTGTTTTTCACTTCATGTGTTTAGTCTGGACGTTAGTCCACGTCCAGCGTGTTCCTGCTAAGCACGCTGAGAAGTATTTGCATGAGGATCCTTTCACGGGCACGTGTTGCAGTAGGAAGAAAGCTGAATCCTCGGTTAAGATGCTGCCATGTTTGGGAGTTTGAGGATAAAATATTCAGATGTGTTTCTTTCTTTTTAGTCAATAGAGCCTACTGAACTACAGTACGAACCTGTAACTATCGGAGCGGGAGCTGTTGATGCATCTGCTCCTGAAAAAGAACCACCACCTGCCAATATCCCTACTGCCATCAAATATCAAGATGATAACTCTTTAGCACATCCGAATGTAAGTGTGTCGATATCTACTTGATCTTTAGAACAAGACAGCCCACTGAATGACAGCAGGTTCGCCTAACCTAACAACTATTTTGCTGTGCTGCTCATCAAATAATCTGTGGTCTGAACACCATTAACTAACAGGCCACTCGTTGGCTCAGAAAGGATCACACTCCTTGCGTCATCCAACACAGAAAAATTACAAAAGAAGTTGTTCACCAGTGGCGTAGTTTTAGAGTTACAAACCAATTTTATAACAAAGTAGCATACTAGTTCAATGCAGGGGAATTTAAGATCCTGTTCATATAAAAAATCCTGTTCAATAAAAATTCAGGAAAAATTGGTTTTAGTTTGTGTAGTGGGAAACCTGCTGGAAGACTCAGAACTTGCCCACCTTGCCAAATCGTAAAGCTTTAAATACATCACAAACTTAAGATAGTTTTAAATCATTGTGGCTAAACTTACACAAATTCCTTTGTGAGCACTTATAATTGGAAACAGGATTACTTACAGTAGAGTTTTTTTAAGAATTAGCAAGTTAAAAATGACTGCAGTAGATAACCGAATGCAAGTCATAGATAACCTAGATAACTAGATAATAGTTATAATAGTTATAATAGTAGTAATCGTAGTTATATATATGTCTTATGACTTATATATATTATATATGTCTTATGATATATATGACATATATGTCTTATGACTTATATATTGTATATTATATATAATATAATATATAATATAATAAAATAGTTATAATATATAATGTAATAATAATAACTAGATAACCTAATCAAGACCTGTACAATATGACAAACTTGCTGTTTCAGGAGGAGACCGAAGTCAGAATGTCTTGGCTTTCCAATTATTAAAGTCTCTACCTTCACTAGTGCGTTTATATCACCTTTGTAGTCTAACACCCCTAGGCAGCTGGGCTTTTTCTTTGGGCACTGAAATAGTCAATACATATTTCAACAGATTATAACAAACAAAGAGACAGTTAATGAGTTGTGCCTACTTTTCTTCCTCTCCCCCGTGTCTCTCAGCTGTTTATCGAGAAGGCAGAAGCAGAAGAGAAGTGGTTTCAGAGGCTGATTGCTCTTCGGCAAGAAAGGCTGATGGGCAGTCCGGTGGCCTGAGCGAACTGCTGCGACCATCACATACCAGTTCTCCGCAAATGCTAACAAATCCAACCATTACATTGTTTTATTTTTCTCTTTTGAGGGGATTTTAATACTCAGTATGAGTTGTACAGAGAATAAATATTTCATCTGAATAAACAAGAATGTTCTATCCTCCGTTTTTCTCCTGAACTCATTGCTGAGTGACTTGTATCGCTGAGCTACCCACTGTAGAGGGGAAGGCTATCAGAGCAGTGTAATTTTCTTTTTTCATACTGAATTCCTCTGGGGTGCAAAAAACCTGACAGCCCAAGGAGGCGTAATTTTATACCTCCCAATCAAAAAAATGCATATAACCATGTAGCAGTTCAAAGACAGATGAAAAAATAAGACTGTCAAAGTTCAGATTTGCCAGCACTCAGACAGGAGGAGTACAAGCGATACCACCCTGGGCCGTTACCTCTTCTGCAGCTGGAGGAGGATTCAGGGCAAACGATATCCCTGTTATCATTTCTTCCTTCCGTTCTGCGTTGCGGCAGCAGCTTTTGAATCCCAGCCATCTGTGGACAGTCTCCTTCCTGAGGGGCTCTTCTGAATTGATGCATTCATCCGCCTGCTCCAGCCTTAGCCTGGTTCCTCACTTCTGGTGGGCTTGAGTGGAAAGCAATGTTTTACATTTCCGTGAACATCCACCCACTACTGTTAGCATCCCGGAGCAGATGTAAGGAAAAGGTTATGTTATCCTTTTAAACAAATTTGTAAAGTTTTCAGCAGGTTTCAAGAAATATTATTTGCTGAGCAATTTTAAGCACATTAAAATGTTTGGTAATCAGGAAAAGACAGCTTTCTGCGAACTCTTAATGGGAAATAATATAAATATTATTGTGTGTAGTGGTACAGACCTTTGTCAAACAAGACTAATGGCATACCGATTTCTGTATAGAGTGACTGTTTTCAGTCTGTGAAGCTTCCGTTTGTCCAGGTTTGACTTTAAAATAATGAAAGATTAGTCCTATTTGAACATACCAAATTTTCCTGAGTACACTTACAAAAAAGAAATCTGTCCATCATCCAACTAAATGCCAGAGATCAACCAAATAAAATACAAAAGTATTTATTCTGAGGTATCTAGCAAAGCTGTGAGAAAACTATTAAATAAGTAGAAGACTAAAATAAGCCCCCCACCTCTGGACATACCTCATTGGAAATTACCTGCATCAGCTTTCCCGTGTGAATGAAGAAATTAATTTAGTGTTAATTGTCCTTGTCCACAGATCTGTGCTGAAAAAAAAAAAAGGAGGATGATTGTGGAAATGTACTTTGGTTGTCTTATTTTTTTTAGATCACCTATGCAAAAGGAAAATGTATTAAATTTGCATTCTAATACGTTTTTACTTTTTCTTTATGAACAGTGCTAGTTTTACTTGCTCCTGCATTAAAATGGCTGTGTTTCAAGACTACCCTTGTCTGCAACAAAAAGTGGAAAAAAAATTGTTTCCCTTGTTTCATTTCAGCATTTTCAAATGGTAAATATTTGTTATTGTTCTGTCTTCTAATCTCCTTCTGTGTTTCTTTCATGGTAAATAAAAACTATTTGATCTCCATGCAAGGTACAGGTGTAAATTCCTCTTTTTCACACGTTATGTTGGATAATTTTGGTATTTTTATTGGATGCAAAATTTCCTTTTATGTAATTCACAACCCTATAGGATATTAAAAAATTGCACAAACTGGTCTGTTAATAAGCAAATAAGACTTAGTGGTAACAACAGGGTGTACCTACTATTGCTTATCAGTCAATAACTAAATTTGTCCAGCAAGCCCATGCTGGAGAATTGTGAGCAAGATCTGGAAAGAAAATGGAAATAGCATTTAGATAATCTGAATTGACTAGAAATATGTACTGAAATATGCCAAACATCATTTGAAACACGGAGCATATCATTATAAAGTTGATTTTTATAGTTTCACTTGCAGATTAGTGCTCCGAATAACCAAAAAATAATTACTCAGAACTCTGTAGCCTTCACGAAATACATAGCTTGTTTATTGCCCCGGTGTCTGCCTGTGCGGAGACAGTTCATTTAAGAGGAGGGTTTTTTCTGTTTTAGGCCCTATGTTCTGTCACCCTGTCTCAGTTCCTGCTTTGAACATTCATTGTGCTGAAACCAGGTCAGTAAACTTGAAGTTTATGGAGTTACCGGTGTTGGGAGATGAAGGAATTGTCAGGATGGAGTTTTTGCCTAGATAACATCTGTTACAAATTAGAAAATGTGCTCTCCTTTTTGTTACAAACCTGGAAGTTCATGCAATACAGATTTCTAAAGATGCCTAAAGCAAGTCAGTGATGCTCAAGTGCGTGTCCTGGCAGTGAGAGCTCACGTGGAGCTGACTGGCGACCTTACCAAGGCCAGATGTTGCGTCTTGCAAGTGAGTTTTAATCTTACGGTGGATCCCTCATTGGGTACGGCTAAGCTGAATATCCAAAACACCGAACATCTCACTGAGATGTAAGTGGCCTTTTGCAAGATTCACTTGCAGGGAGGCTCGCTGCTTTCCGAAGCCGAGCCCTGTCGAAGGGGCGCTGGATCAGTGCTCTGCCTTGCCGAGAACCTGCCGTTGCTGATTCCACAGCTTAAACCTTCACCAAAAATAGACGCTGTTCCACTGCGTTTGCTCCTGGAGAGTGAAATAAAGGTTGCGTAAGGCCAGTTGTAGGGTTGTAAGCATGAATGTTTGGACTGCAGCACTCTTGATTCAAGTTGTGTAAACTATTTTGCTTTTACTTGAATAGCATCCTATGATAAATTATTCCTTTTCCTGTCAAAGGTAGGCAGATACTTGAGTATCAGAAATGAGATAGGCAAGAAGGCAGCAACATCAGAAATAAACTTCACTCTGTAACCAGCTCTGCATTAAGGAGCATTTTGACAAACTTACCACTTAAAATTATTTTACAAGACTTGGACACATGATAAATGGATTACCATTCCATGCGTGGGGCCTTTTTGCTTGAGGAAAAGACAGCATGTGTCACCTAATCAGCCAGATACAAATTTAATTAACTGTGTTGTAACGTGGACATGAAACCCATATCAATGTGTACAAATTAATCGCCACTAACCTGGAAAAATGCACTGCTGACTCTCACCCCACGCTTCTCCTGATCCAAAAAGGAGTGACACCTTCCGACAATAATCCTGCTTTGTTAGTTTCTTTGCTCCTAAGGTCTTCTGATGTTCTCACATTTAGCATTTAGGACTCTTCCCTGTGGAAAGTTTATTTTTTTTGTTGTATTTTCCAGTTTGCTCCGTGCTCCTGGGGAAAGGGAAGGGATTCCTGATTAAGAAAGGGAAAGAAACAGCTGTTTGTTAGTTATCCAACTAAAACATAGGACTTTTAGCTGTGTTTTGCAGCCTGTAGAGACAGCAGTGACGTGGTTTTGTCATTCAGGACTCGTGACAGGGTGTCTCCGATACAATCAGCTCTAACACAAAGTTCCTCCTAATGCCAAACTACCTTAAGTCTGACTCGGACGAATGATGTGTAGGAGTGAAAAGATAATGCTGTAACTCGAGCCATTCAGACTTCTGGTAGTCAGCGAAGACCTCTACTCCTAGAAATTACATTAGCAAACTCATTTTTCTTAGCCTGCTGAACAGCCACCATCAATTAAAATCAAACCAGGCTGATTTTGATTTGATAACTTTTAGGTAAAATGTTCAGTAGCTCTTTCTGGTTTCTTGAGTCATCCAGCATGTCCACAACTATTTTTTTTTATGATAATTGCTTGAAAAGGAGCTGCATTTAGTTTTTAAATTCTCCTAGAATTTACCAAACTCATTTCCCTTAGCCTGCGGAACAGCCACCATCAATTAAAATCAAACCAGGCTGATTTTGATTTGATAACTTTTAGGTAAAATGTTCAGTAGCTCTTTCTGGTTTCTTGAGTCATCCAGCATGTCCACAACTATTTTTTTTTATGATAATTGCTTGAAAAGGAGCTGCATTTAGTTTTTAAATTACTGTTACAACATTTTAGAAAGATTTTGCTACTAAAATAATGGTATCTAAGAAAACACTGCCAGCCAGGAGATCAAATTTTGCTACTTCTGCTTCAGTCGCTCTGATATGAGCAGGACTGGATGATCCCGAAGGCCATTTTTCCATCAGTAACCCAAAACCAACCTTCTTGATGATTACAGTTTTCCATTTGTCAAGTTACAAGAAGGAAGTTATTTTTAGTGGAGATCCTTGAACTCTAGAAACCTGTTTCAGGAGAGATCAGCTTGAACCTATGACTTAATCCACATATGACACAGGGCTGCGACGACTTCAGCTTGCAGCAGTAATAAAAAGCAATGCTAGAAGTATTATTACTCCAGAATTTAAAATATTCATAGTTTGTAATTTTGACTTAGTGCAGCATTGCCTAATTTCTTTTTTCCTGACTGTTCCCTCCCCTCCTTGTCTCCCTCCTTTGCTAAGACCTAGGAAAAGAGAGTAGCAGTGGCTGGGCAGGATTACGTGACGCTGGGGAGCAAGACTTAGACACTGAGTCACTCTGGAATTGCCACGCGGGGGTGAGACGTGACACGATACGTCTACTCTTTCTGGAAGGGAAGCTCAGCCCAGAGAGGGGAGGAGGGAGCCCAGTGCTATCACCAGTGCTGAGCTGTGCTTTGCTTCCAGCTGGGCTCCCCCCCCATTGAGGTGTGCGTCTTGTGAGCTGGTAAATGGTTATGCCACGATTGAGACCCAGGTGCAAATGAAAATCGCTACTTGGCTATCGTTTTGCTTCTTCGGAAATAGAACACAGACTGGGGCTGCATGGTTGCAGGGATAGTAGTGATATGAGAAGCCTTTCGGCCCTTGGGCATCATTTTTGAACGCACTATTTTGAAAAGGCTGTAGTTTAAAAGGTGTCGTCTCTGCTGAGCTGCCACGGTAAAAATCTCATTCCCACTAGATGTCTCTGCCGTCCCAGAGCAGTTGTCACACTGAATATCAGTGGCTGTCTAGAAAGGCCATAGAAATGAGATGCACAGAGTCTGAATTTGCCTTTTTACTTCCTAAACAGAGCTGGAGTTAGGGTAACAAGACAGAGCAGTTTGTCTCAGAGTTTTCTGTTGCTTTACAATCTTCATCCTTTCAAAT